CGCCACCAGGCTATTCTCTCATTTCAGATTTTATACGCGCTTATAGGCTATTTAACCTGATGGCTGCAGAAAATAATTTATCTTAAAATTACCAATCAAATATTTCATAAAAAATATTAATATACGTACGACAGTTATCATACTCCGGTTGAGGTTGGTATATACCAATGGAATTTTGCTGCATGTCACCCCCATTATTTACTATATGTTTTGCCTCCTTAATAATGAGAAAATGAAGAATACGACTAATTATTTGATCACTTTTTGACAGCTAATTTTTCTTACTCTAACACTGACATATAGCTAGTGTTTTTAATGTACGAGTGATTAGATTTATTGAGAAACATGAGAATAGTGGCTGTCTATCATTTGGAACATCCTTGGCAATACCTCAGATTTGACCAAAAATTCGACCCAGCAGTGTTACTTCATCCTCCTACATTGGCTGCTAGATATACTAACGTGAGAAATAAATAGGGTGATCTTAACAATATATCGTATAATGGCCATTACGTATATCCAAGTGTCAAACATGTGATATTTGACTTAGTAAACGGTAAGTGTTTCGAGATTTTTCTTTCTGTGATTTTGATGCATGACAAGCCACAAGAGAAACCGTGAGCCAAGTATTTCTCTTTCCTAGCAAACTCCTGATTTGCAAGTAGCTTTCAAGAAAGGTGTAACGTTTTGAAGTACTAAAACCAGATAAATATTAACCAAAATTATTCGCTTTGTAGGTGTTAAACATCAACGCTGTTACTTATGTACAAAGTATTTATTATATCGCTGATGAAATAAGATTCCATGGTTACCTGTAACATGTCGGACATCACACTTAAAAAACTGCAAACATTTCAAAACTGAGTACAACGTCTGGATTTTCACATCCAGTCTTGTAATTCGGCTTTCTACCTGGACAAAATATCAACCAGTTCCAAATAGATTTATGAAATTAGCAATCAAATTCTATAAGAAAGCTCCAAAGAGAAACCCATTGTCTTTACACTTTCGAACCGTAGCAGACCCCCTCCTCATGGGAAAATACACATCCCCTTTTAACTTGATCAAACAACATGTACCATCTAACCACCAAGAGTATCAATGTATAAAGTTAACTGTTTTATATCGTTCAAATTGCATAATTGCCTTTAGCCCTTATTTTTTCAGCTCTTTCTATTCAGATAACATTATGGGCACTGGTTGGATAGATTTTTAGGCGCCTAATCAGTGAAAATGAGTTTTCCTCGGTATTCTCCCGTTCTCGCCCTATCCACATCAAGATTCACGGTATTAGATCCTTAAATTCTAGCCTAATGGTTGTTAAGTTTTTGTCGACCACCATATTGCTTGCCTTCTTTGCACTGGCATACTTGGTACGATCTTAACACTTATCACGATATCTTAATATTCCTTCCGTAGCTACAATTTATTTTACTTTTTGTTATGATTTTCTCCATCCCTTTAAACTGACTATAATACCACGAACCCAGCGAAGGAGAATCGGTTGATTCTCGAATACCCCGGCTTTTTAAACCCTAACACCTACATTTTAATTTAGGGTAACAGTATTGAGCAAGAAAGAAATTCATATAAACTGCTGCGCGCCAAAAGTTGAGTGAACTAACTGTAAGGTTCGATGACGAGGAACCCACTTTGAGACTAATAATGGCTGGAGACGGCTTGAATGGGTAATGAAGAAAAACTTTAATATAAATTTAACATATCAGCAACATATGTACCTGATGATGACAAAACCTTGTCGAAACTTTGTACATTTGCTGTTATGTTAAACTTATATTAAAGTTTTTCTTCATTACCCATTCAAGCTGTCTCCAGCCATTATTAACTATAAAGTTGTATACTGAACTGAGATAAATATTTGTAATTCATGAACATATTACTTGCTCTATATAAAAATGTTCTAGGTTAAATATAAGTCCCACTTTGGTAAATTGAGTGTTAATATAAAATATAAGCTGGTGTAACTCTTAATAGTCAATCATGGATGACATCAAGTACCTTTCCAAGAAGAGTTACAAAGTTTCCTCTTAGTTACAGGAACGGTGTTTTTATTGGTGACACGTGTTGTATTGTCACTTAAACAAATCATGGAAGAGGCGTTTTCACTTTAGCTTATAATCCTTCGGTGTATCCTAAGGATGTGTCTATTTGTTGTTGGAAAGGTAGTTATATATTTCTTGAAAAAGATGAAGTCAAAAATTTTCTTTGTTGATATAAAATTGTTTTATTTCATCCAGCGTATCAAGATAACATCAAAACATTTTTTGTTTGTTTCCTTGGTGTAATAGTGTTTTTATTTAAACTCTTCATCACGACAAGTAACTCGAAAATTGATCCCAAACAGTGCCGAAAAACTTTACAGGAGAGATATAAAATTACTTAAAACACATTATTTCGCCTGGTTGATTGTGATATCACCATACTAAAGTAGCAAAGCTTTAGACTACTATTTGAAAATATATTTTTTACTAAGAATCTAAACAAATATCCATACATAGTATATCTAATTCAATATGTGTTTTTACCCCTTTAATAAAAATATACGCCTCTCAGTGGTACAGCACTAATCTGAACATTAAACACCATATTTCCATACCCGTGGTGGGCATAGCACAGATATCCCATTGTGCTTAACTACAAAACAGACAAACAAATATTTTAGTTATGGCAAGGTGAATACCAATGTTATAAGATAGTTTAAATGCTTTTAAGCTGGTTATTTTGTAAATTAGAAATCTGATGATCTGTCATGTGACTCCAAATGTAAATAATTGTTCGTTAACCTACCCTCGTGAATGAATCTTTGGTAAAGTAGTTTTAAACAATTACATTTCACTCTGGTACTGAATATGATCGCCACGAACAGCAAGTACAGCCTGATACTGGTGTTTTATGCTTAAAAGAAAAAACAAATGTTTATACAGTTCTGAGGTATCTTCGATCACTTCTCCGAAAGATCTGTTTCTTTCGCATCTGGAGTAACAGCGTCACAAATTTGTTCAAAAAGAGTACATGTCAGTCAGTTAGGTCAATTCTCTCTTTTTTTTCATATAATGTTTCGATCACATAAGCACGGTAGGGATTGGGTGTTTTCATCCATTTTTTTTCTGAATTCAAGGTTAAGTACTATAATATTTGAAAACACAAAGGGTCTCTATGATGTATGTCGTTAATGATGCCATTAGAAATTGGTATCTACATTAACGCTTGTTCAAACCATACTCTGCTCCTGCTATATGTATGTATCCCACTCATCTGTTAAAAGGATGTTTTATCTAACACCAGATTCATTTCAACTGAGCATACAACCGGTTATCTGGCTTTTACCTATAAAAGAAATATCGCTTAATATGTTGCTGGTCTGCTTAATACTATGTTACGTGAATTGCTTTGTGTCTTGCGGAAGTACGTTTTTGTTTTTTATCAGCGTGTTATTGTTTCAAAATTGGAAAGGTTCTGATTTCATATTCTGGCCATCTGTTATCTGGTTGCAGCTGCGAACATCTAATTAAGTCTCGGAACATTCAAAACATATATACTCGGTTGATTGGTCGTATCAAGCTTATTGAACTATATGAACAATCTTTGGTTATACGAGTTAACGTCCAGGTCAAATTTAAGGTGCACAAACAGGCGGATGTTATGTGGTTTATTGTTCAAATCTGACTTAAGAAATAATACACGAACAGCCCTCAGTTATAAGGTTTATTGTCCAGCTTACGAGTCAGTAAATTCAGATGTATCTTTCTGTTTTATGTCGAATCGAGAAAGAGTTTAGGCAATCTAGATTTAGGATATCTTTTATCACAGTAGGTTCAACGTTTAATCGTAAAGCCAGTTGTTTGTCATATCAAAGCTACGAAATGATTACAGTTTTGTTCCGAAGAATTAAGATATACTATTTTCATATAGTGCAGTAATTCCAAGAGAACGATTGGTAAGAATAAGAATAACTACTGCCTTACTATGTACTAGATATAGATTTAAGAATAACTACTGCCTTACTATGTACTGGATATAGATTTAAGAATAACTACTGCCTTACTATGTACTAGATATATATTTAAAAATAACTACTGCCTTATTATGTACTAGATATAGATTTAAGAATAACTAAAGCATTATTATGTACTAGATATAGATTTTAAAATAACTACTGCCTTATTATGAACTAGATATATTTAAAAATAACTACTGCCTTATTATATTCTAGATATAGATTTAAAAATAACTACTGCCTTATTATGTTCTAGATATAGATTTAAAAATAACTACTGCCTTATTATGTTCTAGATATAGATTTAAAAATAACTTCTGCCTTATTATGTTCTAGATACAGATGCCGTTACTACTGTTAAATCTGTTCTTAAGTATACACAGTACAGTGTATCCTACGATTGTAGCGAGCTAAGACTGAGAAATACAAATTGTAGATGGTTACCTTCCTTGGCCACGTGCTGAATTAGTGGTTTGGAAGCAGCGGTTTCAAATTGTGTTAACAACTTTGATACAGATGTAGCCAATTAGTAACAGTCTTTTTTTGAGGTTTCTCGTCAACAGATGCATAATTTACATAAAAGTGAAGTGAGAAGGTAAAGTGACATTATATTATACCAATGGTTTTGCCCGTCATAGTTATAGTATCACATCGTATATTTTAACTGTCTTGATTTCTGTATACACGTGTTTGATTTATAATATCACATTGTATCTTTTAATTGTCTTGATTTGTGTATACACGTGTTTGATTTATAATATCACATTGTATATTTTAACTGTCTTGATTTCTGTATACACGTGTTTGATTTATAATATCACATCGTATATTTTAACTGTCTTGATTTCTGTATACACGTGTTTGATTTATAATATCACATTGTATCTTTTAATTGTCTTGATTTGTGTATACACGTGTTTGATTTAGCAGCACTGGCAAGAATTATTTCAGAAGAATTTTATTTATCAACAAACATATAATATACAGAGTTGAAGAGCAGAAACAGTATCTTTCTAAAGAAAGACTGAAAACACTAGAAATGCCATTATTCGGTGAAATACGAAAACGAATATTTATTTAACACTTTGGCCTCAAACGGTTTAGTTTTATATGAATTTCAGTGATTTTACTGGAATTGTCAGTCTTCTCTGCCACAGCTATTCAGACAGATAAGTTGATCAAAATCGTTTTTCGCCAAACCTGAGTATTTTCCAGTATAATGCTGACTATTGACCAAAAATATTGATAAATATAACATTTGAATTTAGATTGTAACTAAAGTTGCACACTGGTATGTACAGAAAGATAAAAACAATATGTTTTACGAAAAACATGAAAACACGTTTTCGTGGTCAGCATAGAATGTACAACGTACACAGCACACACACCATATCCAATTGTTAACAAAGAGAGAGAAATATTTAAACTGAAAAGCAATGTGCAGTTTGTTGTTTTCAATATTTACGGTTTGTGGTTTTGGGGATTTAGGACGTCCTCCGTTGTCTTGAGCGCGATGGGGTTAAAACCACACGTAGCGTGTTGACAGTTAGTTGTCAACATTCAAACGACTGGAGTACCTTTCTTCGTGCTTAGATTGCCTATTGAATTCGGCTCTGATTCCATCAGACATTAGTGTGATTGCTGTTAAATGGAAACCACTGTTCCTCCACGTGCTTCCGTGCCGGTAAAACCTTTTTTACCCTGCGCTGTCCCTCAGAGTAAGGGAGGTCACGCATGTCACTGAGGGGTTCTGGGGCCGTCAGAGAAAGCTGCTTTTACGAAAAAAAAAACGGAATACTTTGACACAAATTTTTACCAAACGTTTCTACAATACATCAAGTAAAAACACATTGAAACTATCAATTTTAGCTACATCCTTGTTGTGTTAGTTTTACACTATAATATACTTTCTTAAAAAGCTGTCATATATCGACCAAAATTAAAACAAGTGTGCCACTTATGAATCAGCGACCTCATTCTTAAGTTGACTAAACATGTTGAGAAATAAAATACTCCTGCTTCTTACTGTTCCTGTTTTTCTGCTAGGAACCCTTTAAATATGTGCAACTTTTATGAAGTTTAGGGTAGTTTTTTTTTATTTTAGCGCAAAACTACATAAGGCGTTATCTGCGTTTTGTTCTCTGCATGGAATCGAACTTTCAGATGACCCACATTGGGAAAGAACTAAACTGACCCTAAGCATAGAAGTTTCTCCAGTTGTTCTACAAAACATTTATAAGATAAACTGAAGAACATTTACAACGTCAGGCTATGTTTCTTTGTAGTTCATAGAAAGTAAGTTGGTAAAAATCTTGATTACTATGGTGTTTTAACAAATAAGATGAAGTGTGAAAGCAAGCAATGAACACTGTAAGAAAACAGTAGTTTTGATCTCAAGGAAGTTGTGTGTTTTTGTTGTACAAAAGAATAAAGAACGACTAAATTCAAACATTGCTTTAGTCCTGCTATCTAATGCACAACACGTATATTTCTTGATCTTAGACACCAAATAGTGATGTCGAAAGTGATACGACGCTTACAAAAAAAAGAAAAACTATAATAAACAATTAAAAACAACGTTTACTTTACGATTTCGACTTTAAAAGAACACTCTAAAACTACTAGTTTCAACGTGATTCTGAAAATGACGTAGATCACGTCAAAACTAGTACTTGTAGAGTGTTGTTTTAAATTGGAAGTCGTACGGCTTTAATAAAGTTTTAATTGTGTAAATAGTAAATGTTGTTTTCAATTATTTATTATAATTTTGAATATTACACAAGTGCCGGTAATTCATATTTAATAAAAAAAATGTTTCTCTTTCTAAATTTCAATGCAATTTAAACAAACAACCAGTATCTATAACATTACAAGGGTCTGTGTGTGACCACCATAACTCCAAGAAGAAAGAAGTTAGAAACCTGAAATTTTGCACATATACTAAGTGGACGCTGAGGATGTGCACCTGGTATTATTGCTTATCCACGTGCGTGTGCGAGCGCATCTTTTTATGCGAAAAACCACATAGAAAAGAAATGTTTCCTTATATTACAAATATAAATCACAGATAGGCAGACACGCACTTGTGTGCGTGCGCACGTGCGTGTCTGTGTATGTATGACCGCCATAGCTTCAAGAGGGAAGAATCTAGAAACCTGAGATTTTGCCCCCATAATAAGCGTACCCTGAGGGTGTGCATCTGGGGATTATTACTTATCTTATCGACGCGCATGCGCTTGCGCATCTTTTTATGAGGCAATCTAGCGAAAAACCACATGGTTCCTTATATTACAAACTAGCGAAAGTACCCGGCTATGCTCGAGTTAGTAGGTTGATAGTGTATGCATTCTGAACCAACTTTAGCATAAAAGTATAACCAATATACTTTTTTTGCTAAGCAACACGACACATAAGCCATCGTTGGAACTCATTGTAACCAAAACGCAGTGGCTTTTCTACATATTAAAAGTTATTATATAAGGAACAATTTATTTCTTTGCGGTTTTTCGCTAGATTGCCTCATTAAAAAGATGCGCATGCACGTGGATAATACAAGTAATACCCAGGTGTACACCTTCAGGGTACACTTAGTATAAGTGCAAAATATCAGGTTAATAGGTTTTTTCCTCTTCGAACTATGGCGTTAACCCACACACAGACACACACGCGCGTGTTTGTGACTTCTATATCTAATGTAAAGAACTACTTCTTTTCTATGTGGTATTTATCCAGCTTGTCTCATTAAAAAGATGTGCACGCAAATATGCACACGCAAGTGGATAAGATAAGTAATACCCAGATGCACACTCTTAGGGTTCACTTAGTATGGGTGCAAAATTTCGGGTTTCTAGGTTTCTTCTTAGAGCTATAGGTCACAGTTCTTTACTGTATAGTTTTTGCTATTTTGCCTCACAAAAAGATGCACACACGCGTAGATAAGTAATAATACCCAGGTGCACACCCTCAGGCTCTACTTAGTACGTTTGCAGAATTTCAGGTTTCTAGGTTCTTCCCTCTTGGAGCTATTGCAGTCACACACAGACCCACAGATACGCTCTTTTATTATTATAGATAGAAATGACAATAGACGGACACGCACGTGCGTGCACATGCACGTGTGCATCTTTTTTTTTATGAAAAAAAGCTAGCGAAAACCACATAGAAAAGTAGTCGTTCCTTATATAACAACTTCTAACATATAGAAAAGCCAGTGCGTTTTGGTAAAAATGCGTACCAACAATAGCTTTTATGTCATGTTGCTTAGGAACAAAAGTATAACCTACTATTGTTGTTAGTCTATGTACTGAAAGTATAAAATGAAATGTATTAACTACATAATTGAAAACAAAGTGTGATTTCTTAAATAGAGTCTCCACTG